TGCTTTTGGGGGAGTTTTCCAATCCTAAAACAAAACAATAATCTTTTCATTATTAAAACAATCTATAGAACAAATAATCTGATACCTAGGATAGACTATCCTGTAATTGTAAAATATTCAGTATGAATTAGGGGTCTGTTTTATTTTAAAAATATATCAGTATGCTTATGATACCAGGCTCCATTGTAAACAGATATTTTTTCTTTCTCAGGCTGTGACAAACAAATCCATATTCAGGTGAAATAAGTCTAAAAGTGAACCTGACTAAGCACAGCTACAAGGTTCAAATTTGCACTTATACTACAGTGATAGGAAAGCCTATTCTTTCTACTATATTTCCTTCAAGGACTAAAGTACCTTGTTTAGTTTCTCAAATTCCCTTTTAGAAAAATAAATGCCAGATTTCCTTAAACAATACTCACCATTCTTAATAATTTAATAAATAAGTGTATAAATAAAAATCTTGACCGTCCATGTGTATAATCCAAGGTGGCTGGGGGAATGTTGAGCCATATTAATCAGATTCCTTTTGGCCAGTGGATTCTAATTTAGTGGATAAGATACTCACACTTATGTTCCCTGCTATCTGTAAGCCAGATCATGCCCCCTTTGGCTTTTGCCTAGGACCAGAGGCAGTATAGTTGTCTGGATCTGGAAACTGTAATAGTAATAATTTTGAAAGAGGGTTTTCTTTAGCCTTGAAGGAGGTTATGGTACAGTCTATCCTTAAGAGATTCTCCTTGGATCCAGTCATTTTGAATAACTATTGCCCTGATATCATGGTGAGGAAACAGCTACAGAAGATCCTAGACTAAGCATATTATCTGTACTCTCATTTCAAGATTCCAGCATGGGCATGGGGCAGAAAACCTAATAGTTGCACTGGCTGAATACTTTTTCTAGAACCTAGACAGGGGAGATACACTTCATTACAGTGTTAAATGAGACGTTGATGGCTTTTAATACATTGACCACGGTATTCTTCTGCAGTGGTTTGGCATTAGGGGGGCTGTTTCACTGTGATGCCCCGTTCATTCGCATACACATGTAACTGTGGTTAGTGAGTTCATTAATATTCCCCAGCAATTACCTTCACCAAAACCCAGAACAGTCCCAATTAAGTCCAGCCACGAGCAGATCAATGTTAGTCCACAGAGCAATGACCAAAGAGTCCACAAAGCACTTGAAAGTTTCTCAAACTAAATAAACCTCCAAACAAATTTAAATCCACCAGGAAAAATTAAATCCACATACAAGAGAGCTCACGAGGCAAGAAAAGTTCAGAGTTTCCAAGGCACAATTCAATTCCAAATCCAAAGTGAGGCAGGAATCACAATGTTGGGAAAATACAAAGCTAGAAAACAAACATGTTGTCCCCAGCAACACCTCCCTCTATCTGCTGTGATAAATAGCCAGCTTCTGGTGCAACTCATCAAGAAGGGCGAGGCTGACTCCTCTTGAGTAGTCTGGCTGATCTTCTCTGCTCCTGTCTATTCTCTGACCTATGTATTCTCGGATCAGGAACTGAAGGCAGTCCCTCCTTTTCACTGACTGTCTTTCCCCGGCCAGAACTTCAGCCAAATCCCTTTTGTATGGCCATCAATTAACCCAGCTTCTGACATGGCAGGAACTGGTTCATCCTCCCCCAAGCTGACATCTAGAGAGGTATCTGAAGAATTGTCCAGGGAGCAATCACATTCACTGAGATTCCCTACTTCCTCATTGGGTGTCTCCAGTTTTTTTGGGGGGGAATAAAGACTGGTGTGGAAAAGTCTTACACGTAAAGTACATCTCCCCTTTTTAAAAAAAATCACTGGAAGAGGTCCATCTGTTGGTTGGGGAGCTGATAACCAGGTCTAGGAACATATTACATTTGTCCTGCAGGTTCTGTGTTGGTTACCAACAGGTTGTTCAGATGCAAATGAAAATTCTGATTTTGGCATAGAAAGCTTTATATGGCTTGATTCTGAGTTACATGCATGATCACATTCTAAAATTGATACATTTGATATAGGAAGATAAAGCTGCAGATATAGAGACATACACACATTTCGTTTTCATTAAGCTGGAGCAGGGCAGGGTGAGAAGAAGCAGGGCTAGAATAGTTTTCTCCATCATTGTCCTTGTGTTGCTGAAAAGCCTTTCCCTGGGAGTATAATTTGCTCTGATAGCCCTAAGGAAGTAGGGCTATTTATTGTTATTTTTTTCACTGTGTTGCTTCATATTTAGATTGTTCATTGGTATCACTGATTTTGATGAAGAGGGATTTTTTTTTACTATGAATGTTTTGGTATACAAGTAGAACTCTCACAATTGTAGTAGTATGAGAACTGAATAAACAATAAAGATTCCCTGAAAATAACATTAACTTGTGAAATCTTATTTTCATACATGCAACAATCTAGAGAATATCAGTATTCATTGTGTTTGGATATACAACAGAAAAAGAATAGACCTGGTTATTAGCCTTAGTAGTAGCAGTACACGTATCAGACACATGTCATGCTAATGTTAAGGTTTTGAAACTGAAATACCAGCACAACCAAAACCAAGTTTTGCTTCAAGCATTCCCATTCAAAGCTAGCAGTTAAGACATTGGAGCAAGATGTGAAAATAAAGTCTATCCTCAACTATAAAACTCACTGGAAAATTCTGGGCCAGTCAATCTCTCAGCATAACTCACTCATTTAACTCACAGATTGTTGTTGTGGGCATAAAGTGATCCTATGTAAGGTACTCTGAGTTTCTTTGCAAAGGTGAAATGGTAGCTGATGATGTTGATGATATGATGACCGCTGCTACTGCTCTGCTGCTGTTAGTATAAATGCAGTGCTAATATTACTACATTAAATGCATCTATAACCATATTCTGATATAACCAGCCATCACGAATATTATTTATCACTATAACCAGAATTGGACAAGTATAATACATAGAGTTTTTCATAAAATAATAGTACAGCACTTGACCATTATCCCTAGTTTTGAGTTTAAAATGAATTCCTCTTGTATTAACTATTTTATATAACAGCACTGAGTATTGCAGGAATGATTGTGATTTAATGGAGTAAAAATGAAAAAGGAGGGGTTGAAGCTCTCTCAACAGTCTATTTGGTCATCCTAGCAAATACACTAAGCCAGTCTTCCTCACCACCACCTCCACCAGCTGTACTGAATTACAATACCTATAATAGTAGGTGCAGTTCAACACATATAGAGAATAACAGATTTGAGAAAGCTGTCCCTAACTTTTTATGTGGCAGGATATATAATTGATTAAATGGGATGCTCTTCTGACAAGCACATTTAGTACTGTAATACACCCGAGCCACTCAAAACACGATTATAAAGTTGCATTGCTTTTACTATCTAGATAATATGCACAATTAATATCCAAAGACCATAGACATTATTACAAATAATCAGTCCTAGTAGATGAATGGCATTAGCATACAGAAACAATAAGAAATACCATTTTTGGATGAAATGAACAGAAACATTCGGTTCAAAATATTCTTAAAGATCCATCTTATCCTGGGCACCCTTTTTTTGGATTATTACCATCTGGCAGACGGTACAGGATAATAAAAACAAGAACAAATAGGCTGAAAAATCCCAGGGCAGTAACTACCGTATTTTTCAGAGTATAAGACACACCTTTTTTCCTCAAAAAAGAGGCTGAAAATCTGGGTGCATCTTATACATTAAATACAGCATTTTTGCCTCCCAAAGCCCCGCCCCTTCACAAAAATGGCCGTGCATATCCTTATGGAGGCTTCTAGAGTGCTTCTGGAGGCTGGGGAGGGTAGAAATGAGTAAAAATGAGCCTTCCCCCCCCCCCAGCCCCCAGCAGCACTCTATAAGCCTCCATAAGGCTATGCATGCAATTGTTTTGGCGAAAAATGGGCCAGTTTTTGAAAAAAATGGGCCATTTTTTGCTCATTTTGCCCCCACCCCCACGCCAGGAGCATATTGCAAGCCCCCCCCCCAGGCTATTCATGCCTTTTATTTGAAAAAAACGGGCCCATTTTTGCAGAAAATGGGCCGTTTTGGGGAGGTTTGCAGAGTGCAACCCCCCCCCCCTTTTTGGAAAGGTCTTTAGTTAAGAGTGATTGATGAGAATTACATTGATCAAGTGCTGTGCCAAGCAGAAACAAGTCTTAGGTGCTGCAGATTGTCAGCGATTTCCTTCTCCAGTAAATGGATAAATACACGTGGAAACATCTACCTACCTACTCTCTCTCTCTCTCTCCCCCTACCTACTGTCTTTCCCCCCCTCTCCCTCTATCTACCTACCTACTCTCTCTCCATCCCTCTCCCTACTGTATTTCTCTCTCTCTATCCCTCTATCTACCTACCTACTCTCTCTCTCCCTACCTACTGTATTTCTCTACCTACCTACTCTCTCTCTCCCTACCTACTGTATTTCTCTAACTACCTACCTACTCTCTCTCCCTACCTACCTACTGTATTTCTCTATCCCTCTCCCTCCCTCCCTCCCTCCTCTCTCTCCATCTACTGTATTTCTCTCTCTCTCTCCCTCTCTCTCTCTCCCTACCTACCTACCTACCCTCTCTCTCTCCCTACCTACCTACTGTATTTCTCTCTCGCTCCCTCTATCTATCTATCTTTCCACCTACCTACTATTTTTAAAATTTGCCTCTTCAAAATCTTGGTGCATCTTATATTCCAATGCGTCTTATACTCCGAAAAATACAGTATATTGAATTTTATGGTATAATGCATATTAATGCAATATCGGGTTTTCAATTTCAATAATATAGCATGTGAAGGATGTGTGTTTGTTTTTATTTTTATAGTTATAATGTACACTGAAGATGGCATTTAATTTCGTTGTGCGATGTGCAATGACAATAAAGTAAACTAAACTAAACAGAATTTCTTGTCAGTCTGTCCTTTTCACACACTATTCTTCCAACCATTTTCATTAAAAGAAATAATATAGAGAATTTATTAGAAAAATGACAGAGAATCATAAAGTCTTTGTTATTTCTTCCAAATTTAATTCAAGTTTGCCAAATATCTAAATGTATACACAGAGGTTTGATATTACCAAATCTCATCAGACTTGTTTTCATTAACTTCAGAAAAGAAGAGCTTATAAAATTGTTTTTTAAACTAAAAAAACCCCAAAGATAAGTGTGCTGGATAACATTTGCAGGCATGGCTTTATAAAGCATTTGACATGATCTTAGAAAATGTTTGTTTAGAGAGTAAGGAAGCTGTGTGTAATGAAAATAAACAATTAAACCACATTTGAACCATGCTTTTAAATATGTTTTAACATGTTAAATTAGGTGTCTTAAGCTACACTCAACCTTTCTGACCTACCTTTAAATATATCAACACAATTTAATAAAAAAGAAAGAATATTTTACTGGAAAAACAACTTGCCAAGTACTCATGGTATGACTTTTACACATTGTACCATACTTATTGCATATTGCTTACTGGGGAATAGTATAAGGACCAGTAAGGTACTTTTTTAAAAAGCTGGGCATGTGGAGATTGATTTAAGAACAGCTAACTAATGCTGTATTCTGCTAGTGTTTTCATTTTGTAAGGAATCACCACAGAATGTTCCATGAATTATCACTTCTTCCATATTGTTCATGAGGCATTTATCCACTAAGCCATTACCTTTGGCAAGATACTAGCTTTTGGAATCATTAGGCCAATTCCATCGGGAAGGGGGGGAGGGGAGAAAGGGGGAGTTCTTCAAATGTTCTTAGTTCAGAATGAATAAAACTTGATAGATGCATTAACACTGGAGTTTGGAGCTTGCTGAATTCAACACAGCATATTGATTAGCAAGAAACTCATCAAAAAAATGGGAAATGGGAAATTTTGAATTTAAAAATTTTGAGAGCTGGAAAGTGTGGTTGAAGGTCAAACTGAGCATAGGAATATAATGTGTTTCCAACAGAAGAGGGAATCTGGAGAAGAGCTTGAGGTACAAGAGAAATATACCTATTTTTTTACTGATTGGTGTATTATGACATGAGCCTCTTTGATATTTGGATTAAAGGATTACAGATCATTTTTGTTTTATTTTAAAATGGCAAGCAACATTTTAGCTCTGGTATATAATGACATATCTAAAATAAAATGAAATACTCTTAAAACACCTAGGAATTGGAGCATGTATTTAATTAGCAGAGTTGGATTCCCTAGAAGTATTTCATGCTTCATTTTATACCTCCTACCTCTTATAATATTTGCTTATGATCTCTCATAAAGCATCAGAAGTAGATGAGATAGAGAGTTAATATATATAATCTACAATTTGTGCTTGTTTTAAGATACTAAGGAGGAAAATATCTACCCCATCCTACCCCCCCCCCCCAAAAGAGTAAGATATGAGCAAGGATCACAAGATAGTGATTGGATAAAAATTATTTGAAAGAAGCTAGTGCTGTCTGGTTCCCCAAAATATATGCCCATGGTTTGAGGATTACTAAAACAGTCTTATTTCCTCCAGGAACAAAAGGGAATATTTCAATTTCCATATTTTTCCAGTCTAATAATCTGGTTATATTCTACAAGTGATCTCTAGCACAAAAGAGTAGCCCCACAAAATTTAGCAAATAATTTAAGAGGCAAGAAGCATTAACCTATGGCATATGTGTCTTTCTGGGGAATGTATTTAGAATATTATTGATTCTTTATGGTTCTCTTCTCTTGCTCTTCATTTTGATGCAACAACATTCTCATGGCCAAAAATAAATCTTTGACAAATTTCAATATTTCAGATATTTAGACAATGACTTTCTGCAGAGTTAGCAATATTAAATGTAAATGAGAATGGGTGGGAAACTCACAAAAAATACATCAAGTCATGACTCTTTAAAATGGACAAAAACTTTCACTTCACACTTTTCTACTGCTTGTATTACCAGAGATAAATTCACTGACTTTGTAGATTGTAGGTATACTGAATCAAATTTTGCATCAAAGCCCTTCAGAACATGACAAAGCCTATTGTTAATAGCTTCTTGTGTAAGATTTTGAGCTTTGAGTTACTTTCACTATTTTAAAAAAAACTATTTTCAAGGACTAATACAATGCAATAAGCTTGAACATTCAAGAACTCTTAGTGAAACCTGACATTTGGGGAAAGTTTAGGCCAAATATAAATGTAATTACAACCACTATAAGTTGTTTTATTTAATTAAATTATGGTATCCTGCTTCTCCATTCCAATTGCTAAGAAAGTGAGTTTTATACATGTCTTTGTGAAGGAAAGACAGGCCCTTGGGCATATGGCCAAATGAGTATAAGCAATGTACTAAGGTATGTATCGTTTTAAAAGTGAAGCATTTGCATGAACTAAATATCACTTTATTGGATAATGGGAGAAGTTTTGAACTGGACCAGAGGAGAATCTTGAATGATTTCAGAATGGATGTGGCCACTGATATATATTGCTATAATAATCTGACCTCTGTGGAGCTCATCAGAAGTCTCTATGTCAGACAGCAATCCATTCCTATTTTCATTGCTAGTAAGAACAATAAGGAGACCCTTAATACTATTTACTTTTTAAAAAGGAAGAAAGAAAGATTTGCATGAGGATGTGGATGGTACTAGTCAACAGATAAAGTTCCTATAGAAGCAGTAGGCCTAGCTACGGTTACCAGTCTGAACAGCTGTAGCTGCAGGCAGATGGAACAATATTTGGTCAGACACTAGCAGCTGGCTAGCATGTTTGGCTCTTGCTGTTTCTCTAGTTCCAGGCAACTCAGCTTGACTTACTTCTTCTTTGCATTGACATTTCTGCAGACCCAGTTCATGCCATCCTTTAAAGACAATAGAAAAAGAACATTAGGTTAGACAGAATAGGTAGCCAGATCCTGATAATTTTTCTCTTAGATTGGCTTGCAAAAGCACTTTCTCAGTCTTCTCTTGGCTCCCTCTACTACAAGTAGTTCTTGATGTATGACTACAATTGTACACTGACCACACCAACTTACAGTAGCAATTCCAATCCCCCCCAATGAGATTGTTAACCAAGAATAAAGGGTCTTTAAGTGAACACCCACCCCAAGCAATTCCAGGCTTGGCCCTTCCAAATCCTGAGCCTCAGTAAAGTAAGGCACTGCCTGCAATTCCCCCCCACCCCATCTCCCCCACTCTCTGCTACTTAAATGCCCTGCACTCTGCCTAGCAGTATGCCAAGCAGCCCCAGAACTGGTTCTGGGGCTGCTTGCCATGTCCTGAGAAGCCTCAGGCATTTCAGCCCATACCAACAGCAAGTGCTGTCAAGCATTCATTTGCCCAGCTGCCTTCTCTCCCAATTCCCTGCAATGACTTTTCTCTTCTTCTGCCCATCTGCCACAGCCAAAGCAGAAGCCCCTTGCTGCCTTTTTTTCCAGACTCAGCTTCTCTAGCGAATGTTTCCTACCCATGTCTCCGAGTGCTCTCTTTGTAAAGCTCACTGTCCTTAGAATGCTGCACTGTGTCTGTAAAGCTGCACTGCCTTCAGAACACTAAGCTGTCTTCTTAAAGCTGCGGTGCCTTCAGCAGCTTTTCGAAAGCAGTGCAGCTTTATGAAGACAATGCAGTTTTATAAAGACTGTACAGTGTTCCAAAGGCTTAGGGATACACATGTAGAAAACATCTGCCTAAGAAGCTGAATCCAAAAAAAATGCAACAGTGAGGAGGAGCCTCACTCAGGAAATGGCTGTACTGTCCTTATATTATGCAAGCATCAATGATCTTTGATAGATGTCAAAATAGAAATAGAACTTTTGTTTAATACTTATGGTATCAGGACCAATATATACTATAAATATATTTGAAGTACTATGTACAATAGTAAGGCATGCATCTTGCAGTACAGGCTATTGTTGCAATAGGCTGCAGAAGCAGTAGAAGCACTTTGGTGTCTTCTAGTTGTGAATGCCCCTCCATAACTCCAACTCTAACGATCATAGATTCAATGAGCAATGATTCAATCAGAACAAGCCCAACAATCCATATTTCTTGGGGAAGACAGGGAGTAACTGAAATTCTTATTAGATAAGCGCTCATTTTAAACATAGATATAACAATTCAAGATTAGAAAAAATTAAAGTAGCATTAGTGATAAACTTATGCAAGAAACGTAAAACTATACCAACATCATCTCGACACTTTATACCTGTCTTACAAGCAAAGGTGTAATTCTTAAAAAGGCTGAAAATTTGCCATCAAACACTCACTAGAACACAAGGAAAAGAAGATGGAGAAAATGTATTTTTTGTGCTTCTCTATATAATTAAATTCATGACTTATGCACTGATGTTAATAATGCTTTGTGCTGACTCTTGGTTGTCTATTTAAGATCCCAAGCCATAGTAAATAGCCATATTACTTCCATATTACCAATTTCCAGCCAAATGTTTAGTTTTTGAGGTAGGTAAACTTCCATCTAGTTTGGGAATGCTCAAAGGGTTGCAAAGAATGTTGTGGACCATATTTAGCTTTTGAACTATTCTTTCTAAAATGAACCAAAGCAACATGGTTTAAAAATACTGCCTAAATAGATATAGTTTTATAATAAAGAATACATATAGTTTTATAATAATTTGTACTGATTAGTATATTTTGTGATGTGGATGAAAGCGCCTTGAGAAAGCTCTAACGCCAGAATTCCTTGCACATTCACATTTTCAATTCCATTTTATAAATCCACATTATATATTAAAACATCAGCATGAACTAAACTGATCCTTATTCTGAAGTATTAGAGAGATCCAGATAGTGTGGTTGTGCATCTCTCTAGTTCACCTCAATGTCAACTCTTGGGCTGCCATTTGGGGGGAGCCAGTCCATTGCCACACCCGCTCAGCCATGCTTACACGCCACCAACACTGCCACATTGATGTTGACTCTCTGATGTTGGTGGAGCCTATAGCTGCATGTGGCTCTGCAAGGCTTCCCTCACTATTCTGCAGAGTAACTTTTCTACTTGGGTGCAACTGCCTCCTCAGAAGTAACTCTTCTACTTGAGTGTAACTGCCTACTCTCACGTAACTCTTCTAATCGGGTGCAACTGCCTACTCTGCCGTAACTCTTCTGCTCGAATGCAGCTAACCGGGAAGGAGGCTGTGATGACACTGAGTGGGGGTGTGGCTGAGGGTGTGGGTCATGGTGATTGGTGATAGTGGTTTGGTGTCATCTGGGTGGAGGTGTGGGTGGAGCTGGGTGGGGTAATGGTATATGAGTGATGGTGTTAACTTGGTTAGAACTAACTTGGATTTGCTTACCTTTGTATCATTGTCATTTAGTGCTGGGTATCACGTAATATTAGATAGAGATAAAGTTTTTCACCAAACAAACTGACTCTCTGTTTGTATTCAACATGAACGCCGGAACATGACACTTAAATGGGAAGTACAAAATCTGCTTACAGTAAAAGCCTCTGACATTAGGAAGCATGATTGGTATAATGAACCCTATTTTCTCAGCTATGACAATGGCTTCTCTTCACTCAGTATCCAAAGCATCTTGATTAGAACTGCTCATTGAGCAATCAATGAAAATAAATCAACCTTTTCAAAAGGGTATCAGTACACGATCACAGCGGATTCCAATCGTAATTAATATTTTTAGTTAAGAAAACTCATGTTAAATAATTCAATTCCTTAAATGTGTATAATTTCTTCATCACAATATAATCTCAATCATCTTGAAGTCAATAATATTTGATTTTAAACACTACAGTATCACTTAGAAAACTATTTAAACTGACCTTCCAACCAGTACATTTGCTACAATATTTATTCTTTTTTCATATTATGCCTTGAGGCTATGACAGTTTCCCCTATTAATGTATTATCCATACTCTTCAGTTCCCTATCCCTGATCCCCAAATCAGCTCTTAACTTCCTGGGTGCTTCCCCTTTCCCATATGACATATTTACTATCCTATCCCACCAACTTCTATATATGGAATCTTTTGATATTTTCTTAATGTCATGATTCAGGAGTAAAATATCTAGCAGCTCACATGTACAGGTTTTTGCAAGAAGTTAAGTTCCCTAAGCCCAGTCTGATTTATTTCCTAGGTAAACAAATTCAAATTCAAGATTGCAACACATTTTTGCCTGAGAAGACAGAACTTCAGTTCTTGATACTAAGATCTGATTATAAATTATTAATTGTAAAAGAAAAAACACTGAGGACAAGCCAGAATCTCTCCTTAATCATAACTACAGCAAAGTAAGTCAGTGATTCCAGAGGGGAATATTTCCAAGAAAAAGAGTAAATGACTGCAACTTAAGTTACATGGAAATATCCCCCCCTCCCCCCCAAAAAAAAGTTTTGCACAACAATATGCATTTTCAGCCTGATTGCAACCCTAGGCCAGTGTCATGCCGTAGGTATAGATGTCAGCTCTTCAAGTGGATCAAATTAGGAATCCAATGCCATATAAGCCAATACTATTTTTATAGGAAAACTATAGTAACAGAATCTTGCAAATCTGAATGCACTTCCCCACTCTCTCCCTTTATTTTTGTAAGAGGGATTTGTGTGTAATTCTTACTACTACATTCCTGCCCAGGACTCAGGATTCTTTTATCTGTTTATAGATATGAAATAAGAATCGGAAGAAGAGATATTTTTCTTTGTATTTTTAGAGAAAATGAGGCTACTGTGTAAATGAAAATGATTTCTTGTTTAAAGTTTATATAAAACTATATAAAACTATATATATATATTTCTGGTATTGCTTAATGGATTTTTGTTGATTAAGATTCAATGATGAGGCTTTATTATTTGTTAACAGATAAAAGATGAGATATAGGATGAAGAGATTTTTGGTTGAAATGTTAGGGAACATGTTATGTTACTGAAATTGTACTCATCTTGATCAAAGAGGAAGTCTTGAGTGAGTGAAAGAAGGATGATCACACCTAGGTTAATTCTGAAGGAAGAAAATGCTCTAAATTTATATGCAGTTATATGAGAGGCAAATGCTTTTTACATTTAGTCAAATTCCTGTGGGGGAGAAGGCTTAGCTGGGAAGGAAGTAATTCTGCTGACTTATCTTTCTATGAAACTATTTTTAAGCTGCAAAGAAATATCAACATATTTTTACAGTTCACGAAATATTTCAAAAGGCTAGAAATCAAACTAAAATTAATTTTTCACCTAGTTTTTCTTAAAAAAAAACCTTTTAAGAGCTTTTAGTATCACTATTCCTGGGTTAAAAGATTGCACAGTAGTTGAATTTTAAGCTTGCTTTAAAATCTAATAAAAATTTACATTCCACTAGCCAGACCATCAACAACAGTTTGCTTAGTGACCATTTGAAGTTATAACAACACTGAAAAAGGTGGTTTGTGACAGTTTTTCACACTTATGATTATTGCAGTACTCCCATGGTCACATCATCAAAATTCAGACATTTGGCAACTGACTCATATTTATGACAGTTACAGTGTCCCGGGGTAATGTGATCACCTGACAAGCAAGTCAATGGGAAAGCTAGAGTCACTTAACAACCGTGTTACTAACTTAACAACTGTGGCAAGAAGAGTCATAAAATGGAGCAAAAGTCACTTAACAAACGGCCTCATTTAGCAACAGAAATTTTGGGCTCAATTGTGGTTGTAAGACAAGGCGTACCTATATACATAGATATATGATTTCAAATTTTACAGTTTGATATTATAAAATGTGATGCATGCAAGAAATGAAAACACACACACACACACACACACACACACACACACATACAAACACGCTTAGACCATTCGGTAAGCATTATATCTGCATAGGGCATGTTAGATACAGTGGCAGCAGAAGAATATGTCTGTCCTTGGCATGTAACTTTGTTGAAGACAAAATGCTATGTTGCTTATCTGTCTTAAAGAGCTATTCATCGTATGATACAAAGGGGAGTAAAATATTCTAATATTCTACAAGACATAATGAACAAATGTATTTCCTGTTTAAATTAACTGTGATTTTGGCCCCTTCTAGGTAAAAGCTTTTTTTACCATATGTTTTGACTGGATCACTTGTTGAAGCTCATATTGTGGATGATGGGAAATGTTTGGAAACTAAAAAAACAAATGCCAAATGAATGTAGCCATATTTATATAAATGATTCATAACTTTGAAACTGACAAATGCACAAAATACTAGGAACTCGGGACAGAAAACTGTTTATAACAAAGCGAGGCAATAGTCATCTTTGTAACATTGTTTTAGCAGAGAAAACTTGGCCTCAACAATAACAATTCTGTGATTTTTGTCCTGTGACATTATCAAGCATAAATATTAAGATTTGAGGAACAACCACTCAGCAGATTCAAGATAAGATGAACAGAAATCTGATTGGCACAAGTATGTTTTCCTAGGAATAAACTTTGTTGATTATATTAGGATTTAGTTTGATCAAACACGCATAGAGTTAGAATATTATCCTTCATCTTATACCTATTCAATTCTTCATTTTATGTTGAAAGACTTTAATAGAAACATAATGATTAATAATACATTAAAACAGGGATCGCCAACCCCCGGTCCATGGACCAGCACCAGGCCGTGCAATGCCTAGGATGAATGGGGCTTTCTGCCATGCTGCTGGACTGAAGAAAAGGGAAGGTATAGAAAAGGAATGGAAATTGGAATAAATAAAAGGTCTTTACTTCCCCCAATATCCCAATAGTTTTCTGTTTGTTAATGAATATGTTAAGCATATTAATGGAACTCTATAAGGGCCTAATCTTCAGCTTTTGAAATTGCCTTGTCTATCTTGTTATGGTCCAGAGCGCATCCCATAATGACTGAATTCTGAAAAGTAACTGAGAAAAAATGGAGCACCATCCTGCATTTTATATTCCCTTCCAGCACACTTTTACTGAGCCCTATTGTCATAAATCTTAATCTTGAACTCTTTGGTGACTCTGCCTAATGCAGTCATGCACAAACATATACACATATCCTTTTAATAGGGCCAAACCAGGATTGTAGAGGGACCACTTACAAATATAGAATGATACGTACATACTTACACTGTATATAATTTTACACAATATAATATGTAAAAGCTTATTAAAGAATTATTGGCAGCAAAAAGAAATGAAGAAGGATGGCTAAATAAAAACTGGCACAATAAACACATTATCCTTAAAACTAAATTGGAATATAGAATGTAAGTTGTTAAAGGAAATAAATAGTTACTTGAGAACAATTGAACAAGAATGGGGGTGAGATTATTGAAGCAAAAATATGAATTAGTGTGTGATTTGCAGTGGAGAAATCCATCATACATAGAACTTCCCTCTTGCCGAGTGAGTTAAAAAATTACATTTCTCTATTATAGCAGTTAGACTTATATACCGCTTCATAGGGCTTTCAGCCCTCTTGGCTCTTATTATGCACTGAAAACACAAGGATGCAAAGTAAGAGGAATGTCTATCTCTTTCAGATCAGTAGAAAAGCCATTCTGCCAAAATAAACACTGTCTCCTCACCGACACGCCCTCTCCTGTCAGGGCTGAACAAGACTGAATCTGCCAGACTCGATCCCGGATTGTGTGCAAGTTCAGACCCTCTGCAATTTCTGCAGCGGGGGCTGCCGTCAGTAAATCTTGTTTGTTTGCAAATATGAGTACTGGAACGCCACTTAGCTTTTCTTCATCCACCAGCTCTGCTAGTTCCTGAAATCATAAAGACATGTGCAGAATTTTTTATAAAATGAACAAGATTTTTCCCCTTAAACAATTCTGGAGAAATATTGTAACATAATACTTTATTGTAGCAGTATAGATGCTAGAATAAAGAGTCCAGGTATGTAACATAAGCAAACACTAACACCACAATCTAAAATAAGTTTTCTAAAATTATAAGAGAGTATAAACTAATTGCCTTCAAAGCAACAGCAATGGACTGCCATTCCCAACCCTCAAGTGACTAGTATTTATGGAACAGCCAAAGTAATATATACAAGCATAGTTATAAGCTGAATTTGCCAGTATAGTGGAACAACTCTTAAAAACAATTCATTTTAGCCTACAAATGCTTCAAATCCTGCAACCTAAATATAAATGTTAAAGTTTGATCCAGTTTATTCATCCAATATATGGATTGTTAACACAACTTTTTTTTAAAAAAATGTAAACTTCATCAGGCAGTTTTGATTATTAAAAGGAATATTGAACATCCCTGTATACTGGCCTCATGTACTCATTATTTAGGTATTCAATGAGTGCATTGAAGATTAAATACAAACTGATCCTGCAAATATCATTCTAAACGAAATTCATGGTTAAGATCATCTTTAAAAACACTCCTAAAATTAAAATAAGATAACCTTTATTGTTATTTTTTACTGTGAGGGATAGGAACTTATGATACAGCGTACTCAAATTTTACATTTTCTGTTAGTGGCATAAAAGAGAGAGGAACATATACTTTGGGTTGCTGGATGCAGCTGGAAAAGTGTTATAATTATGAAAGGATAATAGCCTAATGCTTCAAATCATTGCTCATATAACATGGATCCTTACATAATTCAACTGATGTGATCATTGTATAACAAATCAGAATTTACCAATCACTGCATTAAATTATCAGGAAAATCTTCATATTTTAAAGATGGTATAACAGAGTCTATATAATTCAGATCTGAGTGCAAAAAATAAAAATTATTTGGGTCAAACTTATGAAAATTGAAAGGGAACTTTAAAAATAATTTCCCTGTTTTCAGCTAATTACCAACTTTGATAGAAAGTTGTAACTTAAATGAAACTCAATTTTTAAGTTCCACCTCAAAATCTGAAAAAAATTCATTGTGCTATATCCCTATTTTCAAAAGTTACTTACTTGACCAGTTTCTTCAAATCTTTTTCTATCAGCACTATCAATGACATAAATCTAGAAAGCAAATAAGGAAAACAGGCTTAAAAATTCAACTGTACAATGCCATTCCAGAGACAGTACATTTGTAATAACAAGTTTCTGCAATAATAATCTCTCAAAAGGAAGTAATTAATGGCTGTTTAAATTAATAGAACTTGAAAAAGGGCAAAAAAACAGTCTAGAATAAAATTGTTAGCCCTTTTTTAATGTTTTGTAACACTTTTTTCAGCTGTGAGAAGTATCTAAAAAACACAGAATTCTCAGAGGGAAAGACTGTAGCTTGGCAATATTAGGTATAGGGAGAAAAATATACAGGGTTTTGCTTAATAAGTGATAACTTACCAATGTACCTGTAATCACAAGTTGTGATTACTGGTACCTCACAACCCATTCTTTTTGTAACTTGGCTTCTGGCCTCCTTTACGTTTTTTGCTTCTCTTAATAATTGGGTCCGGGGGGGGGGGTGTAAGAAAAAATGAGTGCAGAAAACCTCTGACTCCTGGTGTTTATGGCTGCAATCTAGTAGAATTGAGCCCATATTTTAACCACCACAAAGCATTTAAATGAAGCCTTTCCAATTGTAAGTTAGGATCTCAACTTACAAATAGGAGCACTATCTTCCAGGTTTTTTCGGATTGGGAAACTATAGTTACTAATTTAAGAACAAATCTGAATCCTAGACTATGTTATGAGGTTCATTTAGGATTCTGGTTTCCTGTAAAACTAGAAAGTGTTTTGTCCCAGTTCAAAGTTAAAAGAAGGGGGGAAGATGATGATGGCAATGATTATGATGAACTGAACGAAGACTACTATATTTAAGACTGTTATGTATGAAAAAGCAAATGGCTTGTGTTTGTGGGCAGTTTCATTCAAATTTTTGGTTATTGTCCAAACTAAGCTAATATAATCCTTTGAAATGTATACTGGACATCAAGCTTGACAATTTTGTCATTCTAGGATGTTTAGTAGTTGCATAACTGGTCATGGGAGCAATTTATATACATCATCCCAAAGACAACATTTATAATAATGACATGCTTTTATAGTACTGATGAAACATTGGGATAAGCATCAAGAGACAGCTATGTTTGCAGAACCACTCACAAGATCCCTGGAGCATCTGACTGTCTCTAGGACTTCTCATCTAAGCTTAACTTATGAGAAGCACCTGGCTAGAACTGGAGAACGCAGACCTAATGCCAACACCACAATGAACAGCATTGCATCAAGCAGGACACATATGCATTATCAAGTCTCTACTTCCATATCTAGAAGGTTTTGTGCCAAGCAGCTGCAGATGTACGTCTGAATATGCAATCATTCAAATATACACACCTTTATTTGTTCATAGCTTCCAAATAGCACAGGTGTGGGAGACTGAAGTATCTCCCATTCAAACACACCTGCGTGTTTATGAATGTGCAATCACTTCATGTGTTAAAAATATTTTTGGAGGGGCCTCTCACTTGCGCAAAGTTCTTCAACTCTGAGCCAAGATAGGCTTCTTAGCTAGCATGCTGTCGGTTTACAAAAATCCCTTCAAGGCAAATCAAACTACTGTAATGTAGCCCCTAATCCAGCTTTCCCTTTACTATAATAGTGGGTTAAAAAGGAATAGCACAAGAAATTATGCCTTTGGGTTTAAAATCTCAATATGAAAGATGTTTGGATAAATCGTTTTTGAAAGAAAATTGTTATGTGTAAAGGTTCCCCTTGCACATATGTGCTAGTCGTCCTCGACTCATCTCTGTTTCAAAACCAAAAAGCCAGCGCAATCCAATGACTTCTCCGTGGTCATGTGGCTGGCATGACTAACCGCCAAAGGCACATGGAACACTGTTACCTACCCACCAAAGTGGTCCCTATTTTTCTACTTGCATTTTTACATGCTTTCGAACTGCTAGGTTGGCAGAAGCTGGGACAAGTAACGGCAGCGCTAGGAATTGAACTGCCGACCTTTTTGATTGACAAGCTCAGCATCTTAGCCACTGAGCCACCACGTCCATTATGTGTAAAAACTGAATTTGCTCACTGTGTTTGTGTGTGAGCAATGTCAGTTTTCTTTTTAAACCTCTTAGATTGAAGGAATTTAAACACATTTCTTTGCTTCATAATTGTACAAGAACAGATTAGAGTTTAAATATCAGTATCTAATTAAAATATTTATAGGATAATTAAACTTGCCAAGATACAATATATATTGTTAATCACATGCTATTTTGTCCACATAGAATCTTAGCATCTATTACTCAAGTTACAGCCATACTTTACTTGAATAGATCATTCATATGAATCACCCAACTATTGCATGGGAATATATTCATTCCATTGCTGCTAATTTACCAACAAGTAACATCCTAAATGTAACAATAATCTTGTACAGAATCTACATAAGATCAGCAGGGAGTTTCTTTTGTGATCTAGAAAGTCTGTCTTTGAAATAAAAAAATTCTTCAGGCAGCTTTCTTCAGCACTAATGCTAATGTCAAGTTGAAAATTTTTATTCATTAATCCTTTGAAAAACTCTCTCCATTTTACATCTATTTTATATTTAGTTGTTTGCACTATCCCAACTGCTCTTCTTTTCTACATGTTTGAATATTTTAATTGATGGCTTCCTTTTTCAAATAAATTTTGATATGTTTAATTGAAAATAGTATAAATATCAGCAATTATTCTAAACTTTACCTTCACTATGGTTCAAAAATACAACTAATTGAAATGATGCAGTATTAAAGTTCCAAACTGGGCTGTTAGTCACTGATCCATTAACAGCCCTTGTACTTTGGTTATAAACTTCCTACAGCAAAATATTACCTTTAAGTTGAAACCAATGGGCAAGGATACAAGTGTTAATATTCCCAAGCAGGGTGGGAGCAGATCAACAATACAAGAATAAATTCTGCTGCAATCATCCTGGTACTGCCAGCAAAACTCTACTATTGGCAAACTGCTGCTAGCAGAAATTACAAAGTAGAGGGCAGCAATTATTTATCTACTCCACTTTCTCATACGATTTCAGGGAATCTAGAATCCATGGATTTACATTTGACAACACTGCTTCTGCCAGAATATTCAGCCTGTACTTTTAGCATTACATTTTCCAGAGAGGTAGTTAGGTTTGTTGGCTATAATTAAAATATGTGACTCAAGGAATTTAAAAACCTGTATATTTATTTCAGTAAAGCTTTTATGGTTATACTTGGTTTCATCAGATGCATAAAGCTTTATTCTGAGTGAAGATTGTACAAATACCCATTCTCATGGCCTTCAGGAAAGCTGTAAAAACTTGGCTGTTCTGGCAGGCTTGGGGCTGTTGACCTCACTGTTGAGGTCCAACCCCGATTAGAATGAATGTATGAGGTGTTGCTATTTTAAACGGTTTTCTTTTGTTATGTGTTCGTTATGTGTCTTTTTTTTCCTCTTTATTTTTGTAAGCCGCCTGGAGTCCTTCGGGATTGGGCGGCATATAAATGTGGTTAAGTAAATTAAATTAATTAAATTAAATTAAATAATAAATAGTAATAAATAGTATATCTGACAAAAATAAAAATCAGGACATGCTGATAATGGTACTTACCTCTTAAAAATGACCATTTAAAAAAATAATATTTGGCTGTGATATCAGATATGCCTGCCTTGCTGAATTGATCTACAGTTTAAAAACATTTTTTTGCCCATTATTGTATTGTATTGTATTATTGTATGATATTGTCATCTGAGCCCAGATGAAAGCATGGCTTACTTTATGTTACCATATTCAGCCACAATTATATGTAATGCATGAATCTGGATCCATGGTTCTCCTAGCTCCCACTTTCCAATGAGCAAAGAAATGGGTTAGTAAGAAGAATGTGAAACAGAGCTATCTCAGGAATAGCATTTCCACTAGTCTAGCTTTCATTTCACCATAGTTAAGAAATTACTTGAAATCAAAGAGGGCATTACAAATGATTCAGTTGTCTCTAATTTGGGGACAATGGCACCAGCCCTAGTTGGCAACTTAATTTTATTATAAAAATAATAAAATTATTTAAAATTAAGTAATGAAAAAGGTCAGAAAGCAACAGGCAGCTAATCTTTACAAGTTGGCTTGAGCTTTTGGGCATAGAAAGAGTAGTGTTCAAATGGTTTACCTGATTTATGGGATTACTGGCAGGTTAGTCTACTAGTAATGCTGAGTTAAATTCAGTCTTCTTTCTATGAATATGGCTTTTGTCTCTGTTTATTCCATGGTAACAAAACACAATCTCTTAATTGCAGCTGAACTAAGCATAAACTAGTTTTGCTACTCCCTTTGTTAGACTCTTAACATCTATCCTCTGGTCTCACTGGATTTCCCCCCTACTGAATTATCAGATAATTCTGTTTGTGCTGCTGCTGCTGTTTTGCAAAAGAAAAATGTTCACCTCACTCTGACACTGATATACCTGTATTAACTGGAATGTCTCTGCAGCAACATATGTCCTGATAAGATCTGAACCATTCTTGGAAGTTTATGAGCTCTCCATGCAGGCCTCCTCTTCACCAGGGTACAGAGTTGATTTGGTTTTATAATTGGAAACTTCTACTTCCCCTGCATTACTCTCCATTCTTACATGGAAATTTTTGTTCATAGAAAGTCTGACTTTAAACTTTCTAGAGAAGCTATAGATTGCTGTTGTTATGCTTTTCTCTTCAAACTTATGGTGATTTGTAACTTAGAAATGCTCTGGTACTTTTTTGCTTTTCTGGTTCCAGATAGTCCTCCTTAACAATCATTCACTAAAGTACAGCTTGAAATAACAACTGCCTTAAAAAGGGTGTTTATGACTTGTAAAGCTCTTCCGACCATTGCAAAATGCTGAATCCCCGCTTCCCCCTTCCAGTCACATGACTGTGATCTGGGTGTGTGGCAACTTGTTTGCACCTACAATTGGTTGCCAAGCGCTCTGCAATCATGTGATGATTTGTAAACTTCTCTACCGGCTTCCCCAGAAAGTCACTGGGGAAGCTGGCAGGGAAGATTGAAAGCTGCTATCATTTACTGAGAGGACTCATATTCATCTCTGGGAGCTGGCTGAAAAACTCCCTGTCAAAAGATTTCAGCTCTGTGCAAGCTGAAATCTATCTCTCCATGCCTAGATAGCACCTGCAGAACTGTGAGAAAAAAAGGATTTCTAGCTCTGTAATTGCTGCCAAAATCCAAACAGACATGTGGCTGAAATTCTTCTCTCTCTGAAACTCTGTCCCTGTAGAGCTGCAGAAAGCATCATACCTGCAGAGCTGCAAACCGCTCTGTGTCTGTGGAGTTGCGGTGAGAAAAGGATTTTTAGCTCCATGTCTGCTTGGATTTTGGCTGCTGAAATCCAAACAGGCATAGGGCTGAAATCCTTCTCTCCCACAGTTCTGCAGACACAGAGCTTCAGGGAGCTCCATGCCTGCAGAGCTACTGGGAGTTTCATGTCTATGGAGCTGCAGAGAAAGATTTTTAGTTCTATCCCTGCTTGGATTTTAGCTGCCAGTAAAGATAAATGGGTTGCTTTGCACACAGTGGTGTGACACTACACAAGCAGAGCAAGCTAAGGCCCCCCAGGCCTCGTGGGGCAGGGAGCAGTCTAAGATGTCCTGGGCTATAGCAGCCTTGCATCCCACTGCAGCACAGCTCCAACTTGTGCTTGGTCTGTACTGGGACTCCCAGGGCCACATGCATCACCGAGGCACTGCTGCACTCCACTTAAAAAATTGTGCTATTGCTTAATGGCCACAACTGGAAGATCAAGGATTGAAATCATTGAGTGAAGCAGTCACATGACATCTTGCTTAATGATGGTTTCATTTAACAACCAAAATGCTGGTCCCAATTGTGGTTGTTAAGTGAGGACTACCTGTATGTTTTCTACAATAAATATATAGATGGTCTCTTCCTCACTGGATATTACTTCATGCATTATGCATGTTTTATGCAGTAGTGAATCAATGAGGAACTCTGTAACTGATGGTAACTTCTCCTTTTAATATTCAGGAAGATATGGACTATCTGCCAGGTCCCAAGAATAATATGGACTGTCTGCCACACCAACTTTGGATTCTCCTGCTATTCTGGTTCTGCGAATATCTAGTTTTCTATCTAAATTAAATACTATTGGATTTTTTTATAGAAAGATAATAGGAATGCCACATAAGGCAAGAAACTATTTCTTGGCCTCAATTTGCCATCTGTAATAGGAAATAATGCTGCTTATTTTAAAGAGCTATTGTCACAAACATCACCATAATAATTAACACAAATCTGAGAATATTGAGTGAGTGGCATGTGGTGGTGATGGAAGGAAGTTCCCAAATGTGATGTGCAAAAGATACCAAAATGGGAACAGCTCCTTAAAATGTTCCTTCCCTATGTGAAATTCAGTTGTCTATTGGAAATATTTCGTCTCTGTTTAAAATAGCATTCAAGAATAAATATGGGTATGAATGAAATGATCCCACATTATAACTCGATCCATTCTTTTCAATCTGAAATATCACATAATTTCAAATAGAAGGCAATATCAAATGAAACTATCAGGTAGTACATGGCTGAGTTAAAGTAGTTAAGAATAAAAAGGTTTTGGGAGAAGGAGGATCCCGTCGCGATGTCACAACGTGCGGTCTCGATAATCTGAGACCGCCGTTGGCACTTTTGGCGCTGGACAGTCCATTGAGACCTAAACCGTCCCACAGAGAATGGTGATCAGGAAGACAAAGCCTTGCTGGTCTCTTTAAGCCGGCGGTAAACAGGCAGCCCCCAGGCTGATGAAATCGGGATGCTCCGGAAGGAAGGAAGTGAAAAGAGAAAATGAGTCCATCTGGTGAGGTATTTTTTCTATTTTGCAAAAGACTGCACAAAGAAATTTTTCTTTAAAATCAAATTAGACCCTTAAGCAAAAGAACTGAGCGGTGAAATTAACCCTAATTGAATTGCTGTGGAAAGCTTTTTTTTTCCTTTGTAACTATTCTTTGTGGATTGAAGGTCTTGCAGCATTTCTCATTTCTCCTCTTAAAGTGAACGCCTTGATTTTTTTTTCTTCTCTTTTTGTTGCTTTATTTTTTTACTTCTGGATTAAAGCCTTCCTTCTTACTTTAACAATTCTTCCTATTACTTGTTATTAAATTTCACTAAAAGAAATCTAAAGAACTTTGCTTCCTATAAGCCAGAGATAAATATTTGAAAGTGAAAAGTAGCACACTGCCACTCGGAGGTCAGAGGCTGGGGTTTTTGAAGCAATGTATCTATTTTCTTTCCTTCTTTGGCTTCACTGACTTTGTAGCTGAACATTTTGCAACTTGTTTACATAAACTGATAAAGAGCCAAGGGCAGGAATTGTTTTCACAGGTGCCTTTGAGAACTATTTTGGCAGGGGAAAGAAAGGGGGGGGAACAGAACCCTTCTCCTTTGAAGAACATAAAAGAACTTGTGTTCAAATCAATCTAAAATTAAAAAAATAAAAGGGGCCTGGAAGGCTAGAGTGGCAGTGGCTATTAGTTTTTTTCTTTCTTTCTTGTTTTGTAAACATGGATCAATATTCAGGTGAGGAAACCTTAAAATTCCAAAATATCTTGGCTGGAATTCAAAATCTATTGGAAGGATATGGGAGAATTGAGAAGAAGTTGGAAAGACTAGTCTTCCTCATAGCAAAAGTTGGGGTTGGAGCCCCCAAAATTAAATCTATATGAAGATATAGAAAATAAAGATAAGATAATAGATGAATTTATTAATGGAGCAAATGTGGGTGAAAGTGGAAAGAAGGGAATATAGAAAAGGGAATTTGACGAATTGGAGCTCTACCCCAGATTCCAGGACACAGAAGAAAAAAAATAGCAATGATGATGGACAAGAAGAGAAATTTTATCAGAAGCAAGATTGACAACCAAAGACAAGCTAATTTTAGTAGCAGCTGGTGGGCAACAAGATTACCTGAGAGATCCTTCAAGCAATGAATTGCGGAGAGAAGTCTATAAAAAGCTTATAAAGGAGATAAAAAGAAAACTGACACCACAATTGTCAAGAGAGATAAGATTACTGGAACGATACAGGGTGACACTGAAAGTTGATAATAAAAAAATAGTTGATTTTGGTGATTAATAAGTAGGAATTTTGTAACTCTTAGATTGTTTTAGATTGTTATCAAATGTTTATTCGCTAACAATTAATTAACTATAATAACAATAATGAAATGATAATGGATACAGCTTAATGATATATACGTGTATTGGCAATCTAGTAAAAGAAATTTGGATACAAATTGCAAATTGTGACTTGTGAAATAGACCTATAAATTTTATTAACAATTTTTATTTAGATCTTGTTATAAAGTTTTAAGGTTTTTTTTGGGGGGGGGGGTCTGACGAGAGGAGATGGGACATAAATAGTAAATGATTTTTAGCCAATTATAATAACAACAAGGAAATGTTAATGGACATTGTTTAACAATATATACATGCTATGGTATTGGCAAATTGGATACAAGCGTTAAACAGTGAGTTGGGGGGGGAAGGAGGGGAATAGGTTTAGAAACTTTATTAATTGATTTTTACTTAAAAGATGTTATAAAGGTGTAACATTGGATGATTTTTTGAAATAGTTAATGAATGCCATTATGTGGTTGTGTCTTTAAGTATGACTGATTTGAGGTAAAAACATATTCAAATAATTGTAGTCAAATGAGAATTGCGGTACATTGATAGTTAGAAATACAAATATTTTTGATTTAAAGTGTATAATCTAATATGAACTATAAGTAATGACTGTGGAAGAAATGCACGAAAGTTATCTGTAACTAATTGACATGCTTTCTACAAGATGTAATGAAAGATGATTCTTTTTTGTGTTTTTGTTTAATTAAAATTTTAATTTTTTTAAAAAAAAGAATAAAAAGGTTTTAAAGCTTTCATAAATTGATATATACATACTTACTTTGCAAAATGCACTTCCTGTCTAGTACAAAATAAATGGATGTATTTAGCAGCAACATATCTTAAATGTAAAGTCTCTGTGTTATCTAATATACCATACAATGTATCCAATGCTTACCAAGATATCAGTGTTCTCAAAATAATTTCTCCAATATGGCCTGATTTTCCTTTGTCCACCAATATCCCACACATTCAACTTGAAACCTTGGGCTTGCACACTTTTAATGTTAAAACCCTATAATAAATAAAGTTAAAACAAAAAAAAAAACATGAGTGGATACAGTACATGGCTACAGTTTCATTGGCTCACATCTTATATATCGCAACCCTGGAAAATGTAACAAGATAAAGCCTATATCACTATTCAGATGAATTGACTGTAGGCAAGGTGAAGGATATAGTAGTAGCCTTGCCGAGTCGGGATCTATTTATGTCAGTTAAAAATATATATGTGGCAGCTTATAACGAGAAAGGAGGGGCACACAGGGAAGTCAAAGAATAAGGGGAAAACCAAATGCCTCTGTTCTGAAAGCCAAACCAAATTGGCAGGTTAATCAGAAGCAAAACTCTGTACCTGACTTCATGTAAGAAAAGTAGAAGTACCAGCTAAATTTGTGAAAGACCCATTTCATCAATTAAAGCTCCAATTGAAAGGGTGTGCAACTAGAAAAACGAGAAGTGGTGCAGACTGGCCACAAGCTGCAGCACAATACAAGGGATGGGTTCTAAACTTAGAACCGGAGAGTGGATTTTGCTTTGAGGTGTGGGAAGATTTCATCAGCAAATCCTTGCAATCCAGACCTAGAGTACAAATCTCCAGCACCACCTGCTGGCATTTCTGAGATGCTCATAATTGGATATTATTTGAGACTTCACTTGCACAAAAAAGAAACAAAAAAATGCCTGAGTTATATTACAATTTACTCTTTTAATGAATATATTACATACAACATATATACTACAAGTAGTATTCAACTTCAACCATTCATTTAGTGTCCATTTGAAGTTATTGCAGCCCTGAAAGTTACTTTTCATGCTTACAGCAGTTGCAACATCCCCATGGTCCTGTGATCAAAATTTGGACCCTTCGCAAAAGGTTCATATTTACAATGGTTGCAGTGGCCTGGGGTCACCTTTTGCAACTTTCTGACAAGAAAAGTGAATGGGGAAACCAGATTCACTTAACAACCGTGCGATTGACTTAACAACTGCAGTAATTCACTTAACAACTGTGGCAAGAAAGGTAATAAAATGTGGCAAAACTCACTTTGCAAGACATTTTGGACTCAACTGTGGTTGTAAGTTGAAAAGTATTGTATACATAGTACCCAACAGCGCAACTAGATCAAAGGTTCTTAACACCATTGCTCAAAGGTCATTTTGTAGCCATTCTTTTTTTTTTTTTGTTATTATGAATTGTGGTGAAAAAAAAGGTAGGACCTGCTGCAAAGACCCAAGGGAAGTTATAAACAGATGATGTTGTCAAGATCCCCTTAAATTATGGGAACAAAGCAAAATAATTGCACGATTATATCATAAATCACACAATTGCATCTGTAAATAGCAAGCAATTATGGGACCATAGAGTTGAAAATAGCCGTTGAAGGCCATTCAGTCCAACCACCTGTTCACTGCAGGAATCCAAATTAAAGCATCTCCATATAGATGAATGTCTAGCTTCTGTTTGATTATATCTAATGAAGGGAAACCCAATGATCAATGGTGATCATTCTACTATTTACCAGCTCCTGGGCACATTATAACATCTACATTTTTGATTTAACAAAATTAAAAAGGAAGCAAGTATACTTCAAATTCAAGAGCTACTCTAACCTTTATTTCCCACAATGATCCTAAACGCCAAATAGGTTTTTTAGACATTTTTAGAAATAAAGCTAGTGATTGCGTTTGTAATTCCAAACTATTTGGAAATTTATTATCTGCCCAGTAATTTTTATCAGAATAAGATAAGCTGGGCTTGATAAAGAATATCTTAAAGACTTGATAAAATTTCAGGGTGTAACCGTATCAATCTACTTTTTGAGAAACAGTTGTTTGATAAATTTTAATATCAGTTGGAACATTCTGTAAAAGGGTAACCCTAATGGCAGCAATTAGGATTTCTTTGATTACCCATGACATGCGCTAAAATGTTAAATGTGCCACTGACTTAAAAACTTGTGGGTGACATTTCATCTTTTGAACAAGCACTAATATGGGCTTTCTACCTTAAGAAAGGTTATTTAAAATATACAAACATTTCTGTCTCTAAATACATTTGTGTACATATATGTTACCAGTATTACAATTTCAATGGATAAATTTGTGTATTCAACCCTGACACATTAATATTTTAAATTGTGAAGCAGTGAAAGTTAAAGGTAAGGGTATGTGGACATGCCATTATCACTATATTTCTATTTGTATCATAATAGAATGCTTCTCTTTCTTAGATTACATTCCACTGTTGTTTCATGACCTAACAAAAGAAAGAAATTTCAAATATTATTGGCTATTATCGATTTCAAAATCAGAAATAAAATAATGGCTGCTGTCATAATTCTGTAAAACAAATTGTGCAGCTTAAAGGGACTCATGACTACTTGTACCATTATACCACTGAAATCTGGAAATGGAGTTGTATGCACATCCAATGTAAATGTATTTTTAGAATTCTTTGCCAAACGTCAAGATATAGTCTTATATTTAATCATGGAATATCTGTCACATCAGTAATACCATCTTTCGTTTACCTGGGTTGGAGTGATATGGGTGATATCTTCAGATGCCAGTTGTTTCAAAAGTGTGGTTTTGCCTGCATTATCCAATCCCAGGAGCAGGATCCTAACCTCCTGGTCTGGTGCACTCTTCAATTTACGCAGAATTGATAGTAAGCCCTGTCAGTCAAATAGAGAGGAAATTTGGTATTTCAATCATCACCACCAAGACCTATTTTTGGAAAGTACATATGCTATTCCCAATATATACTAAGCACTACACGTTAATAAATTATACAGTTCCCTAGCTACAGATTCATAATATATGATTCAAAAATCAGGGACAAAATATCCCCCGAATGGATAAGATTTAAAAAGAAGTAAAGGAATAAAATCTATTCATCCATACCCTATCTATTATTTTAAAATAAAACAGAGTATTAAGAAGGAACACCTGAAACAAATTTAATATTTATTCATTTCTTAAATAAAGGAGGACAAAAAGCAATTGTATATAGAAAAATCATCTACATTTTCTTAATAAAAACAGTGCCATATATAACAATCAGCACAAGAAAGTGATTTTGTAAGAGCGTTAATATTTGACGAACAAAGGGACTGAGGTGAACAAAGAAAAAACAATTAACGTTTTGAAATGGGTGAAGGTATGAAGAAAGAGGTTATAAGAGGTTATTTGTATACAGAACTAGAAAACCTGTGACCTCTTAAATCAACCTTTCAGACATATTTCCTTATCATATGCCTCAACGCCCTCAACAACAGAATTTCTAATGTACTGCCTTCACTGGAAAAGATAGGATACATGCAGAGATGTATCTGCCTTGCAAACAGTCCTTGTTGAACTACCATATCTTTTGGAGTATAAGACACATCTCCCCCTCACAAAAAAAGAGGGTGAAAATCTGGGTGTGTCTTATACACTGAATACAGCAATTTTGGCTTCCTGAAACCCCGCCTCCTTCACAAAATGGCTGTGCAGAGTTTGGGAGATCTGCAGTGTGCTCCTCGGGGGCTGGGGAGGGCAAAAACAAGCAAAAAATGGGTCTACACTCTACAAGCCTCCTAAAGGCTATGCATGCCCCTTTTTGGGGAAAAAAGGGCCAATTTTTGCATAAAATGAGTTGTTTTTTGCTCATTTTTGCCCCCCCCCCAAGGAGCACTCTACAAGCCTACTAAAGGCTATGCATGCCCCTTTTTTGGGTGAAAAATGGACCATTTTCTGCTCATTTTTGCCCAACCCCCAACCCCCAGGAGCACTTTGCAGGCCTCTCAAACTCTCTGCATGCCCCATTTTCACAAAAAATGAGGTGTGAAGAAGGTTTGGGTGGTCTTGCAGAGTGCAAAAACTTTTTTTTAAAATTTACCTCTTCAAAATCTTGGGGCATCTTATACTCCGGTGTGTCTTATACTCCGAAAAATATGGCATATAGCACAGTCAAACTTCAGCACAGGAAAAAGTTCATGATATTTTGTATTATGGCATAAATGTTTATGAGCATTTTTATATTATAAAATATTTTATAAAATTTGACAAATTTCAATTCCACAAATCATGGGTCCTGGATAGTAGACACATTCTGTAAGTTAGTCCTTCTGAGGTACCCTGGTTCCAAAATTCAACCATTGTTGCCTTAGGATGTACTGTTTCTGCCAGTTGAAGGTTAGAAAAATGAGAATTTTAGTAGTGTGGTATGTGTGTGTGCACATAAACAGACAAGAGAGGAAAATAAGAGAAATGTATCAATATGTATAATTTATAAATCATGTGACATTGCTAGAAGTTGTATTTTTAAGTAGACTAAATATTTTGTTTTTGCTTGCAACTTGATCCTTTGAAATCAACTGATAACAACAGAAAAGAGCATACATTTCACACATTATAGAACCTTAAGACACTAAAAATGAAAATACAAAGAAATTTATTTTAAAATGACTTTTTTAATTTGATCTTTTTAATGTATGGATCTGATCTTTCATTTGAAGCTGACATAAATTGTAATAGAATGTCAGGCAGCAATAAACCATATCACTCTCATTTTATTTCCTGCCAATCTGAAAGTTACCTATACCCATTGAATTTGAGAAAGAAGCTTTGTTGTACATGTATAGGTAGACCAATAAACCTATCCTTCAAAAATGCTGAATAAAGCATCTGCAAAACCAGGATTCTGGTCTCCCTTGCAATCAGACTAATTGCAAGCATAGAGTAAAATCTCTCTGCATCCCATGCTCTCAATGAGTAGAAAAACATTTATAGAATATCAGCTCCAAAGAGTGGCATTAATAGAACTGATGTCAGGAACAATAATGTTTTGGGTTGCCTGGTCCCTCAATCAGGATAGCAATCAATTGTTTTACCTACCCTTAAGGGAAAAAATCCAGAGAAGTTGTGGTTCCAGTCTTCCTGGCACAACACTTCCAACACAACACTGAACATTATAGAACAGTTACTAAACCTGATGACCAGGTAGAAGAGTGCAGGCCCACAGCAGACCTGTCTGGTTAATCAGGGCTGAATACAGCATTGATCCTGTCTGTATCATGTCAAACCACCTCTTCTGTGCATTTTACACTGTTTGCATGAAAGCCTAGTTTCAGTATATCATGGAAAAACTGCTTTCATGTCCATTTGAAAGCCATCTTCCAACTGCAGTGGGTTCACAATGACATATATGTTATCAACAAATGGCAAGTAAAGCATCTGTGTTCTGGGGCAAAGAAGCCATGTGGATGGTTTTAGGACACTCACAACTACTCTCTAACAGTCATTACCTCTCTGAAATTTCACTATATTTCTCACCTCTCCTTTTACAATTTCTCATCTTACTTCCCTTCTAAGAAGGTGTCTACATGTTCTGTGCCTTTTGAGGGCTCTATTGCAAGCATTTGATGAAGTGAACAATGAAAGCATATGTTGAAAAAAATGTGCTAAGCTGTCGAGAATTGCTTTTGCTGCATTCTAAAAAATTCTCTAAAAATACTGTGGAATAGTATTAATGGAATTCAAATTAAAGGAGTAATATCTTTGAAGGCAATCTAATAGTTTTACTAATAGCTACTCTATTTGGAAATAAGTATTATTAAATGTTTACATAGCTGCATCCAAAATAATAAAAATGTTTTTTTTTTTCTAAATACTAACATAATACATAACAGCACTTTCCATCTCTTTTCAGGACTCTGGGGCTTTTCATTCTTATCCTTCTTATCTGTCGATTGGTTTCCTAGCTAGCATCAGAGCCAGAACATTAACTGATCCTGCTATTCTTATCCTAAGACTGTGACATCATAATGGAAGGAACTACTAACCACTCTTCTAAGTGGTAAACCTTTTCACTACAATTTCTTAGTGAAACTTCTTCCAGACTTTCCAAAAGCTGTCTCTTCTGTGTAGAGTTGTGTAGAAAAGGGTTAGCAATAAGATCTAGATGAGCTGAGGTGTGTCTGATTCTGGATTGATTTTTATTTCATTCCCTTCTACCATTTTAATTCTGCTGCTTGATTTGATTCCGACGTCTTCAGTATGGGCTGAAGTTTGCTTTGGACTATTATTACACTTTAGCCTTATTGCTTAGCTAAGGCACTATTTAAATTTTAGGAACTTTAAATATATAAGAAGTTCCATTCTCTAACATTTCAAAATCTATTTCAGTCTTTTTTACAGCAGGAATGCAGAGGCAGACAAGTAGAAACAAGAAGCTTGAAAACATAGATAGAGGTATATGACTCATAAAGGCTTGAATTGTTAGAAATCAATATTCTCAGAAATGCAAGGAAATAGTTCAGTTCCAACTATCCATTGCAGACAACCTTTTTCTATATTAAAGTATATGATTTATTAAAAGAATGTTCCTCCTATACATGCAAAGACTAATCTGTCAAGAGGACAATTCTGCAGATCCATGAATGCAAATTAATAATTGATGTTTATATACATTCAGCTTGGGAATGCAAATTAATAATTCAAGTTTATATACATTCAGCTTGGGAAAGTAACTAATGGGGGGGGGGGAATCAAAATAAAAGTATATACTGTATATGTTTTCTCCAGCAGTCATCACTGCTCAAAAATTTTATTTAGGTTTAGCTTTTAATTATGATATTCTCTTTCACTTATGGCAATTCTGTGCATTTATTTGATCCCATAAGCACCTCAAAATGGTATACAAGGGAAACTCTCTTTGTTCTCATGAAACAATTCTGTGATGTAGATTGTACTGACAAAGTGACTGTTCAAAGTGACTTAGTAAGTTTCCACAATAAGGTTGGATACTAAAAAAAATCCTACATAAATATTAATTTAGGTCACAATTTTAGCACAAATAAAGCTCTAATATAATTTGGTCCCATTTAAGTAAATATTAAATGAAAGTGCTAAAAACATGTCAGTTGCTAGATCTACAGAAAAAAATTAAAGATTGATTTCTATTTAAACCACCTATTTAAATCTAAACACCTATTTAGATTTTGCAGTCCTCCTAAAGAGCACACTGTCCTTAAAATTTATTTCATAGCAGTTATTTTATCTTGACTGGATAATTTTTATTTTTACTTTGCAAGAACTGAAGTGGTGTACTAGTTGCAGATGTTGGGTTAAAAGTGAAAAAAACCTAGATTCTAGACATTCCTTAAAGGTAGAAACCAGCTGTATGATCATGGGCTTCACTTGTCCTCTCAGACCAAATTAGCATCAGCCTCTGTTTGATAAATTCCATGCATTGATGACTCTGTTGATAAAAACTAGGCAAACAAATGGTACTTTTAAAAAATCTGTTTCACTTTATACAGATATATATAAATATTTAGTGTCACAACCCCTGGTATGCCCCAATTATGGGAGGAAGCCAACTGCTTCCATATCTGTCAATCGGCTCGTCACAAGAGTCCATCACGACAGAAACCCAATATTTTTACTGTTGCCTTTTGTATTATTTATCAGCAAAAATACAACATATATATTATATATATATAATTATATATATATAATTTGTACAGATAGGTATCAGGGATATTTTTGGTAAGTGGGAGATTTTTTTGTAGGGCATTACTAACACCATTTTGTTATTTTTGAAGATGGTGTAACAAAAAACTACCTAATGGGAAAAATCAGTAGGAATTATCCCATTTCATAGCATATTTATGTTTGAGGAATACTTTTAAAGAAATATTTATTTTCAAATTATAATCCCTGTCAACTAATACAGAAACAGAATCTGAGAAGAGTGCAAGAGGAAAAAGTAAAAAATATAGAATGAATTATTTTAGGTCAAATATAGCCTTTCTAGCACAATGATCTGTTTCCTTTCTAGCTGGCCTACTCAAATGCCCTATTTGATAGGCCAAAGCAGGAAATGATAGCAATAGTCCTCTCCAGCAGCTTTCCAGTAATCAATATTCAGGGGGACCCATATAGCTGATATTATTTAGAGCCATTAGAAGATTTAACAACCATTAATATGACTAATCTCCTTTTATAGTTGACAAGCACCTCATCCTGTGATAACTGATAGCTTAAAATTATGTGCTATGTGAAAAATTGCATTTTCTCTCACCTGCTTCAATTATCCCCGAAGTTACCCTTTTCCTGTACTTATTCCAACTGTACAAAATCCTCTTTTTAAATAATTAGAGCCAGAATTGTATAGAAATGTGGTCACATCACACATTTTTCTAAAGTATATTATTGGTAGTTTAATTTTCAGTAATCTCTCACACTGAATTCAATTTTTGTTATTTGACATACATGACATGGGTTCTCCAAATTGCAGATAATTTGGTGATACCACTTAAAATATGGCACATTTTTCAAAAATATCTTAATATTTATTTTTTTAATTTAATTTGAATATTAATACAATTCGCCTTAGATTTTCAGAGTCCTTTTCTGAAAATGGACTTTCTGAAAAGAAACAAATGATAACTATTCAAGAAGATACAGTATAAAGAATACATTCAGTTTCTCTGCAAACTTAAGCATATTTTAAGTGCCTTATTCTTATCCATTTCCCAAAAATAGATTTAGTCTAAGATTCTTTTTCGGTTTGCTTCAAGGTTTCTTTGCAAAATAATTAAATTTCTGCAAAAAAGGCCCCCAGTTTAAGCTTATAAAACAGGCTTCCTCAGTCTGGTGTCCTCCACATTTGAGATGACAAATTGCAAAAAGTACAAATAAGTCAGAATTATTGTCCCACTACCTGGGGAAATTATCATCTGGAAATTAGCTCCTGGCACACAATATCCTTTTAGTGACCTTGTTTCAATTTCAGTTGATGATTAATGTAAAATAAAAGGGAAAATATTTATTTTCTCTTCACACAGATGTTCAGCTCAGCTTCATATGTACTTACTTATCTTAACACAGGGTCACCTGATGCTTCCACAATTTCAATTTTAAAGATCTAAACCAGAGTATCTACTTCTAAACAGATTCTTTTTTAGTATGAAATGAATACCATGCTGAATATTAAGTACAAATAATAAATATTAGAAGCTCATAGACATGCTTTAAATGAAGATGGTCCAAAGTTTAATTCCTTGGTATCTTCAAGCAGAGCTGGAAGAACTCCTGGCTGAAATACTGGAGAAACATGCAAGTTGAATCTGTAGAAATCAAGCTGAGGGAAATAAAATGCATGAAGTATATACCAATTACGTTAAGGCTCGAATGTATAATATCATTAATTTCCACATAGCAGTAAAGATGAACAAAGTAAGGATGGCAGAGATTGCTACAGGTGGTAGGGGACTCTGAAGTTTTGGGTATTTTCTACCAAGATCATATTCTTTAAAGGAAAATCCAAAAAACCCTCAAATTGTTCTACAAAAAGCTCTAGATATATCAATATTTCATCAGGATTCACTGAAATAAAATCTTAAAGCAAAAAGGAGAAATTTGTATTCTTCAATTATAAGAAAGATTTTTATTACGGAGCTTTGACTACTGGCAAGTCAAGTTGTTCTTGCTCAGCTAGTTCTCCCATTTCACTCCAAGAAAATATTGTAGAGATTTTTTTTTCTGTTAAATCATGCCTGGATAAGTTTCTGCAGTTTTCTTGGCAAGGTTTTTTAGAAGTGGTTTTGTTGCTGACTTCTTCCTAAGGCTGAGAGAAATGGACTGTCCCAAGTCCCCTAGCTGGCTTTGTGCCCAAAGCGGGATTACAATGTACTTTTCTGGTTTCTAATCCGATACCATGCTTAGATAAACCTTATTAACACTAAATGGAATGTACAGAATATACATATAAGAATTAAGGAAGCTGCTGTTTCAATACTTATTATGTTCTATCTTAATGTCCCTAACTACAGTACTATAAATGGCAATGGAAGAGAGACAGAAGCTTTATTTTGGAGGGATATTAAAGGACAATTTCTCATTCATCCTAAATTACAAAAACCGGATACTTTGAGTTTATGGAATCCAATTTATTTTTTTTACCAGATGTCCAAGATCCATAAACCTCTTTGTTTTCTATAGCATACATTTATGCCCACAGGATTGTTTTTAGTAGCAAATCTGAGTGGAGTTTGATCTTTTTACTCTAATATTCTCTCCCAAATGCCTCTTCTTTATTTCGGCAGCATAATCAGAAATTGTTTCCAAACTAATATAGCTCACCAAAGGCATACTATTAAATACCACCCAGAGTTCTGAGAGTCAGGCAATAATAATTAATAATAATGGATATTATTAAATATTATTCTGTCTTCCATTCACAAGCAAAAGAACAGCAGTTACCCTTTAAGTATCCTCAATCCCCTTTCACATTTGCTCCCTCACTTTTTCCTCTCCCTGCCCCTCAATTCTGTTCAGAATGTGACAGTAGGATTACATAAGGTGTAGAATCCCTCTGCCTATCATTAATTTAGTGTGATAAAAGGAAACCTCTTATATGATACCTGAAGGGCTTTTAAATATTTATGTTCTGGGTGGAATCTAGCTGGACAACTTCAAAATTGACCATTTATGGCATATAATCAAAAAAAAACTCTGGCTATTAGATTCAGAAAAAATCCCCTTTTTCTAACATTAAAAAAAACTCTAGAAAGATGCATTTGAACACTATTTTTCAGACACTTTTGCACCTTAAGGGGGAAAAAATGACAGGACTCCACCTGAGCCATTTCCACTTCTAAAATGGGTCAGTTCGTCCCCATGAGACTCCAGGTTACAAAGGGTAAGCTCCTCAGCAGTCACATGTCTCTACAAGATTAAGAAACTGTCTTTTGAATGGCACCAGTTCAATGCCAAAGATAGAAACGGTCGCCATAAGACCCGGGGCTTCGCAGTAACTCACATAAATGAATAGTGAATCCTGATTTTAGACTCCCTTAACAGTTCCAAAGAGCACAGTACAGTAGATAAGCAGATAAGATGCACACCCGCTAAAATGAGCGAAAAGCCCTAACACTTTTATCATTCAACCTCCTCTTCCTGGTAGTCGTTTTGAACAGTTTCTCCAATCAGAAACACAGGGGACCATTCACACTCCTCACCACCACCCCGCCCCCCTTTTATTTTATTCAGGCCCATTCAACCACTTCCACCGCTTTGGACCGGGCTCCCCTCCGTACCAAGCACTCCGTTCCCGAGGAACGGCTCTCTTCCACAACCACCGGCACCAGGAATTTGAGTGGGGGGGCAACCATAATTCGCCCTCCACGGCCTCCTCCGTCCCCGGCTCTCTCCCCCTTCCAATCTCACACTCACCATCCTCTACGCGGCTCTCGGTTACCATGGGCAACTGCGGCAGGCGCGTGCGCACTGCATCCCTCTTACGTAGAACGTCCGTCCCGGGTGCTCTCTGAGCGGTCCAAAACGAAGGAGGGACTTGACTCCAGAAACACCGCCCAGTCGCTTCTTTAAAAAAGAAAAAAGAGCGAGAGCACGTTCCGTTCAGCGCATGCGCATTAAACGAGGGACCAGCACATTCTTTCTTGGGTGAAGAGTCTCTGGATTGGTTGCGATGGGCCACGCGTCCCAACTATTAGGGGGCGGGGAGATTGGTGGTGGTGGGGGCTAGTTATTACCCATGTGCTTTCAAGGGAAAGGCGTGTGTCTTGCCGAGGGGTGCTTGACGAGTTACAGGTAGGAGTTTGAACTGGAAAGACTATGTGGAATAAGTGCTGCCTTTCAACCCGACAAGGGAGGAGGGAGTGCAGGGGATGAGAAGGGACACAAAAGGCTCGCTTCTGACGTTAGTGGAAAAGTGGCCCTAGGGTTTTCTGATAGGAATGAAAGAATGGACGTGGGATGGTGGCAATATCAAGGGGGAATCCAGAGTTCTACCCAGCAGAGAAATATGGTAGCCACCCAAACTTTCATAAGTTTGACTTATGACTTACAGGTTCACTTTCATAAACTTTCTGCTTTAAGTACATTAATTGGCAGATCTACAGATGCCAAAACGATTAACGCCCATCTCCCGAAACTCGGTGTTGTATTGGACTGCAATAATCCATAACTTGAGGACATAAATTTAGGGAATTACTGTCAATCACTTAGGTTCAGCGAATATAAAAACTGGAGGGGGAGAGTGAAGTATAGCTGATTTAGGGCTCTAAAGGTAGATTGTTATAGAAGGAGCCATTTCGAATGGGAAAGATGTAAGATCAAGCCAGGTCTTGAGTGGTAAATGATTCATGCCGGTATTGCTTTGAAGATAAATCTCAAAGTACTGTAATGCGAAGGTTTTAAGCACACAAGAAATGGCCTGCCTGCCATATATTTCAGCAGATCAACCAAGCTGTTTTTTTTAAATATATATTCTCTGAATACAAGAGGTTTATACTGCTGTAGCTAATAAATATGTAGTATGCAGCGGTACATATTAATGTTAAAAGAAATATAGCTTTACTTATAGCCTGCATTTGTTCCACAAAAATAGCAAACATCAGGACCCCGAATCCCTTTTCATCTAAAGGAGAATATTTGTAGCCGAGGGTTGAAATGATGGGTCCTTGGTGCTCTCTAAATTGGGTTGTTTTCTTGCAGAGGTTTCTGCTAGCACTTGTGATGTTATCTAGTTTGGGTAATGAAACCTGTGCAAGAAAAAAACCAAGCTCAGAAAGCATCAAGGACTTCTTTCTCATGTGATTTTTACCAGATTTCTTTAAACTTCAGCACATTGGTTCTACCACAAAACCGCAGAGGACAAAATCGCGGTCGACGAAAGCACGTATGTGACGTCATCACAGCGCGACGAAAAAGATCGAAAAATGTAAAAATAAAGCTAAAACCTTCCCCTAACCCCCCCAAACCTAACCCTAAACCTAACCCTAAACCTAACCCTTAACCTAACCCTAACCCTAACCCTAACCCTTAACGTAACGAAAAACCTAATGCTAACCCTTAACCTAACGCTAAACGTAACGCTAACGCTCTAACCCTTAACCTAACCCTAACCCTTAACCTAACCCTTACCTTTATGTGAATCGGCTTGCTGTAATTTAATTTTTATTTCAATTTTTCGATCTTTTTCGTCACGTGATGACGTCACATACGCGATTTCGTCGACCGCGCTTTTGTGGAACGCGCTTTTGACGGGTCACGCAGCACATTATACTGTGTTACATGTCCTCAGATTATGCCCTGGTGTGTAGAGTAGTAAATGACTTTTTTTCTCATCTACTAAAATTTAGTTTCAATGAACTATCCCTCACAAATGCTTTAAGTGGTGTAATGGAGGCTGATCAAACTGATATGCTGGCACAGAATGTCTGATCTTTCAAGAAATTAAATATTTTGCAGCCCAGCAATAATGAAAATAATGAAAATTGTCCAATTGGGCTAAGGATGTAGAACTTTGCCTATAGAAATATTAGAAAATTGAAAACAAGAAACCTGAAAAAGCAGAGAAAGAGGCAACATAGGTTTTTTTTAATGGGGTCATAAAAAGAAGGGGCAGTGGGCAAATAAGTATAGAATCAAGAGGATCTAATCAGGGTGTTTGTTCTAAACCCTTTGCAGTGAAATATATAAGGAAGGACAGACAAAAATTGCAGGTTGGGTGAGATAAAGAACCTAACTTTTAACTACCGCAAAGATTTTTGTTTACTTGATGAGCTCAAAAATTAATATAATGATTCCTGGGGAATAGTTAGTATAAGCGTGTTTCCCCAAAAATAAGACAGGGTCTTATTTTCTTTTGACCCCCAAAATAAGCACTTTCCCTTATTTTAGGGGAGATCTTATTATTTTTGAAGTGCAGGAGGCAGCGAGTGTGGTCACCTCATGGCTGCTGCTGTGTTGCAATATTTTTGGGGAGGTCTTATTTTCATGGAAACAGGGTAGTATTGAAATAGTGATAGTGGAAAGGCTTTTTTCATCTTGGTGGCCAGAGAAGTTCAAGAAGCTAAGGATGACAACTCTGCTTATACTCTCCAGTATGTGGGATTGCGCTTTAAATTGATATTTCCATTAAATTTTCCACCACTACATGAAAATATTTTTGCCTAAGAATTCATGACCAGCTATGAACTTTATGACAATATGTGCACATTTAAATTGGTCCTGTGATGGCATATCAACAGCCGTGACCCGTCAAAACCGCGGTCCACTAAAGCGCGCCCGATTAAAGCGCGTACCTGACGTCATCACGTG